ATAATATAATATAAGAGTAATTAGAAAGCACTGATAATATTTTGACTTTGGAATATGATTACACAGGAACTATTATGCTAACAACAAAATTCTTACATAAAGATGTTACTTATTTATTAAACATTATTAATAACATCATAAATTTCATTGTATACCAAGTAATATGCAAATCTTTAATAAAAAATAAAAAATGCAGAAACCATTAATAATAATCATTCATTTTGGATTAAAAAATTAAATTATTTATTTAATAATTTTATTTATTTATTTATTTAATAAAATTATAATAATAAATGAAATTTTAAAAAAATAATTTTTATTTATACGTAAAGAAAACTAAAGATAAAATATTACAAAATTTTTTTAATAAATTATTTTGTTACATTTAAATATATAAATAAATATATAAATTATTTTTGTGATGCATTTTTCATGTATTTAAATTTACTCATAATGTATTGTATCAATTTTTTATTTAATAGAAAAAAAAGACAATAATATAATTTATCGAATTTTTCTGTATTGAAGTTTTTTCTGTATTATAACGTTACATTCCCACTTACTGACATTACAATCATGTTTTATATTTTTAAAGTTATATTATAAATTTTGATTAATGTTTGAGATGTTTAAAATTGTTAAATAACAATTAATATTATTTTAAAAAAGACAAGATTAAAAATTAAAAAATATATAAAATAATTACAAAGAGAATATTTATATTATATTTTTAAATTAATAAGAAAAAATTATTCTAGAGTCGAAAAGTTATTTTGTTCATTATATATATCTATTTATTGCTTGGCATAGATGAATGTATTCTAAATATTATTTTTTACCATATATTCAAAATATATATTTTGGCATATTTAACATGTTATTATATACTCATATTAATAAATTAACATGTTATTATATACTCATGTTAATAAATTTTTATTGATTATTATTCATTAAATTTGAAGATTTCTCATATATCAGAAAAGATTTATATTAAGATAAATTTATATAAAGATAAATTTAGATAGTTTTTAAATATGTCTCGATATACAAAATGTTAATATATTTTATGTTTCTCAGTGTTTCTTTTTTCGAGACTAATGCAATTTATTCCAATTTTAAAACATAGATATTTATATAATATAAAATATATATTTTGAATAATATAAAAGATATCAATTATAGTTTACAATATTTTCTACAAATTTGATCAGATTATATGAAAAATAGCTACAGAAAATGATAACAAAAAATAATAAAAAATTTGATAAAACATATCAATATAAAAATTGCCTATCATGTTAGCTTTATGAAATACATGAAAAGGTTTTTGCTATATTACGATAATATAACGATAATAATTTTTTATCAATTGCATCGTATAATATTCGTTGTAAAATCAAATATTATTTATAATCAACAATATAATTAATAATATAATTAATCAATTTTTTTTTTTGCTAAAATATATCATTTTAAAATTATTTAATTTTTAATATTTAATTATTTAATTTTTATATATATATAATATATATAATAATATATATAAATATATAATATATATAAATAAAAACTTATCATATAATATTTTGTTTTAAATATTCGAAAAATCATAAATATACAATTTATTTTTGTAATTTCCATTCTTTTCATTATAAGTTGAAAATAACTTTAAAAAAATATATTTTAACAAAAA